GGACTTGCTGCTGCAGTGGCTATTGCTGCCCCTCTGATGAGTATGAAAAATATTGCTATAGTGTGCACATGCTTCCCAGCTCCCACCTCCCACCAGACATGCTGGAGGTCACTGGTGTGGGTAAACTGACCCATACCTACTTGTACAGGGCATCTGTAGGTCTTGGGCCTAGTAACAGCAGCGTCCCAAACGGTGATGCTGGGAACATTCCCAGTGGCTCAAGGTTGCAAGTGCCAGGACCCTGCATCCAAGTGCAGCAGGTCCAAAGTGATCAGTTGAGTGCTGTCCTTCTGGTAAGTACCTCTTCCTTTCACTGTTTTTCCCCTGGGCACATGAACTTATGTCTACGCTGGGTTGCTGTCTCAGTGGGGAAGAAGGAACTGAGGATATTTGCAAGGTTTTATGAATCTAAAAGAATTCTTTTCTAAGCCTCTGACCTAGCTAGTTTCTTCTCATTAGTGTGATGGGTGACTTTGCAGGAGAAAATATCTTACTGTGATCACAGGAGGGCTACAAGATGGGATATGTCTGCAGGTCTGATCTGCTGGGTGTTGCTAAGTCACTTGTCAAGATCCAATTTTCTTATATGCAAAATAATACTAGTTGTATTTTTAATAGGTACTGAGAGTTGTCTTTATTTTTTTGAAGTTTTGAGATGTTTTGCCTACAGACTGTCAATTTTCCTTAGTGTACATAACAGTAACTAACTGCTGTTGGCTCTGTCCAGGCCAGTACTCTGTGGTAAGAGCTATTCCAGATGTTTCCAATGCAAATGTAAGAAGACATGTTAGACAGACATGGTATATACTGCTTCCTGCAGTTGTTTTTATCCTAATTTACAATTATTAGAGGTTGTCCTAAGTCTGTAACCATTATGTTTATTTTCATTTCTGAAATCACTATTGTACCTTTAAATACATGGAATTGGTCAGCCCCTTTCTGAACCTTGATGTAAGGATAGCTTCAGCGACTTCTTTGGAAAATCAAATACATATTCAGCTATACAGTATCTGAAAGAGCACCTCCTTTTATAACTCTTGAATTTCCAAATAGTGGGTTTTAGTAAGTTTTCCCTTCGCTAGAAAAGATTCCTGACTTGCTCTTAACTATGCAATTAGTTTATCATGCCTTTTCTTATTTATCCGTTGGCAAGGTGAAATAGATTTGTGGGTTTCTTTTCCCTCTCAGTCTTTTCTGAGCACCTTTTCAACATAAATCCTACTGACAGGGAAATATATTTTCTCAAATATTTGTTATTTGATTTACTCATGATGGCTTACCTCATTGTTAATCAAAGTCATAACCAGTTTTAGGTTCTGTTCTCTGTAGTGGTAAAGGGTTGTACATGTCTGTGGTCTCTCACCATGCAAAGAGGGGGTTGTGGAATAAGTCTTGCAAAAGCAGAAGCATCAGGGTCTTTCAGTAAGAAATTGTAAAGTCCAGGAAAATAGCAATTGGCAGTATGTAAATAAGAATTTTTGCCTAACACATTGGTCTACTTTGGAGAATATCATTGATTATGTTGAGGATCTGAAGAAAAAGGCTGAGTTAGAACCTTTGCAATGGGGAGCTAAAAACCTTTTTGGCAATCTCTTAACTCAGAAGGTGTCTGCAAGAATCCTGATAGTGTCTTGGGACCATGTCCTTGGCTCAAGAGTAGTTCATAATTGCAAAACTTCTATAACAAAGGTGGTATAAAAAAAGCCTTGGTGCAACTAATTTCCATGTTCTTATTGAGCAAGATCTTAAAACTCAGGTTACCAACACATTAGTGGACTGAATAATAATAAAAATGCAAAAGTATCCCTGATTTTTGTAATGAGAACAACCAAAATGTATTTCATTACAACACACTGTATTTCAGTCATTCAAGTGAATTTTTAAACTTGACATATGAGACTCCTTTTTTGATAGCGGGCAAAATAAATGTCACCTTTGGCAATTTTATTTTCTTAGCTCCTAATACACAGAAATGGGTAACCATAGATGTGACCTATGTGGGAAGTCCAAAGGCTGTGCATTAATTGAGCTGAGTAGGGGAGCAGAGGCAGAGACTGTGAAAACTTCTCTATCTTCAGAAACAAAAGATGTCAGTTATTACTTTAGTGCTGATGAATCCAGTGGCTAGTATACTAGAGAATCAACTACATGCATGTACACACATATATGTGTATATATACAATTTACCTATTTCTTGCAAAATTTGCAAGTTATTAAAATGACTTATTTCAAATAATTGGAAGTGGGCAGAAGCTGCAGTTTCTGTGCTTTGATTTCTGTACGTGCTTTAGATTCACCAAGATTTAAAATTAAGTATAATTATGTTAGCGATGCTTGGAAAATAGTTTTCAGTTGATCTGAGGTGGGAAAGAGAACTGTCACTCATTCTTGAAAACTATTCCTTTTCCAGTCCCTGTGGACTTAAATATGATTTCTGTGCAGAAAGATCACAGTCACTTTACTAGAGAGGAATATTTCTACTCATTTGATATTAAAATGAGAGGATTGTCATTTTTCAGTGTTTACCAATAGAAATTTCAGTAAAAAATAAAATTTAAGTTTGGGTATTAATTAAATTTTGTCTTTAAGTGCTTTCAGACTGACTCATTTGGAGTTAAAAATATAAACATAAGTGACCCTTTGAATTTCTGAGGAGGCATCATTGTATTGCTCCCTAAGAATATAAATGTAATAAAAAAAGGGCATTAAATATTTAAAAGGCACTAGGAGGAACTCCGTAGTTATAATTCAAGGCACTGGAAATTACTCCAGAATTACAATTTTAGCAGAACTTAAATAGCTCTGATTTTTTTTTTTTTTTTTTTTTTTTGATTGAGGGGGAGATTACGGCTTTTAGCATGTGGAAGGTAGAAAAAAGTTTACATATACCAAAAGTTAATCGAAATTCCAGAAATTAAATGCACTTTCAACATTTAGGTTAACTTCTTTATTCTTGGTCATCTTTTACTACCGAATTAAACGATAGGCTTGAATGATTTTTACATATGCAGAAGCATGGGATCCTTTTGTGCTCTTACCTGTTCTGTTTAGGTTAGAGCTAAAAATAGAATTATGTTCAGCCATAATAGCAGTACAGTAAACTGTAATTGTATCTCTTTCAGTATTTTGCTGTGTCTTTCTGAAACGTAGCACAAATGACAGCTAAATGAAAAGCGTCTTACACTGCTACGCTAATGTGCTGTATTAGAGACAAAGGCACTAGTGGGATTACTAAAGTAAGCAGCAGTTCACTGAGTATTTCTGGGGTCACGATGTGGCCATGGATTGTTACAGTTATTTTGTTTGCTTGTGTTGGCCATTGTGCTATGCAAAAGGTCCGTAAGATATTTCTACATTCAGAGTTTAGTGACCTCTCTGTGATTTGACATTCAATATGTAGGTTACATCCAAAAATAGACACAAACCTAGTGATGGAGACTATTTCTTGCTAAAATGTAATAGGAGTGGAATAATTTTGCGCAACGTGGCATGCATTTCCAGTGACAAAAATGGATGCACTTACATTGAGACAGTGCCATGCAATCTAGGCTGAACTGCTGCAGGCTAAGCATCAGTGGCTTACGCGCACAAGTATAGACCAGCCATGTGAGTAAGCCCTCCCTGCATCTTGTTCTCATGGGAGCATGCCCCATAAGATAGCCAAATAATAAGGGTGAAGCACCTTCCCAACTTTTTCTGTCTATTCTGGTTACAATCTGCCTAGAATGAGCAGTCTTATGCCCCACATTGTAAGGATTCAGTTGAGTAGGCAGATTTCTTGGCTACAGAAGTTAGTCTTGGGGTCAGGCCAAGAAAATCCTAGAAAGAGTGATGATCAAAGAAAATTTTTCATGGGAAACTGCTGTAGATTTCCCCCTTTCTGACCACTCCAATTACGTTTTGCAAAGAATACAGCTCCAATGTTTAACAAATGAACACTGTGTCCAGGAAAGGCTACAAATGCCTGGGCTGAATCTTTGCTTGTCTGATGTCTGCCTTGGAGTATTATTTTTAGAGGTAGCGGAAGGGAGAGTGACAGAAGGAGTAGCTTGAGACAAAGGGCTTGAGGGCATGTGGAGAGTAATGTAACTGGTTTTGGAGATGCCTAAGGCAAAGGCAATGATGGGTAGGGAAGGATGAAACTGGATCGTGACCTGGGCTGAGGGAGGTTGGATGTGGGTAATAATTCTTGTATGAAAACATAGAACAAGAAAACACAATTTGGATCAAGTCCAGTCCTTTCCTGTATCAGCCACCATTTAATCTTAAATCTTCAAATTCAAAAATTTAAATTTTAATTGTAAAAATAATAATTTTAATTGCAAAATTCATTAGGTTGTGCCTATTGTTCCTATTGGAAAGTTATTCCTCTAAGGCTTTGAAACCCTCTTCTGACATCCTGTCAGCAGTTATTTGCGATGAATTTGTAGGCATTTGCTCTTGTGCCAGCAATGTCCTTTTAGTATAAGTAGTTCTTTTCCCTCTTTGGGGCTTGTTTTCTTCATAGTTTAGAGAGCAACCACATCTTTTCTTAGGCTTTGTTTGACTAAACAAGTCAATCTCTTTCCATCTTTTTTCAGTGGTCACCTCTGCACTTGTCTGATCATACTAATATCCCTTCTCTGCATCTGTTCTTCCTTTGTGGATATATATTTCTTGCAAATACATGACCAGAATTATATATATACACACACACGCACTTCCTGGTCCAGGGGATAGGGAATACATCACCTCATACTTTTTGGGATGGCAGTTACCTTCTCCATAGTTGTAATATGCTGATTGATCAGTCATGTAAGCATTATTGCAGAACTTCTTTGGGGTAGAGGTGGATGCGGGAAGGTTGGTTCCCAAGATGGTGGTGATTCTGCCTAACTTCATCCATATAAATGCTTGATGCTTGAACCTTAGATGTTAAGAAGTCATAGCCACCTGCTGAGAGCAACTCATCCT